GCAACGAATTCTGTGGGAAAGCACATTGTAAAGCGGTTAGTTGAGCACTTGAAGTAAACACAGTCACGATTCAAAACTGAGGACCTGTCGAGAGGCATTGCTACCAATCTATGTGCATAGGAAACGAGTCATAGCTGCACATCATACGATAGAGATCACTCGTGCTTTGCGACAATATAGAGCTTGTGTGGAGTAATAATTTACATGAGCAAGAAGTGCAGTTTGGAAATGTAACAATCATCCATTGTACTACTGCATCACATGCCCAGGTTATCCCTGTCTTGTCTCCTTGCTTTTTATGGCACCCTATATTCCACACTTTTTTTATTCGCAGAATTACTTGTATACAAAGTACTACCGTACTTAGTATACAATAGAAAATGATCCGAGGCACCAATATCTGTTATATTAACCTGTACACCACCAGATTCCCTCATCAACTGCACATCTGTAACTATATAACTGATTTCTGCTGCAGGTTCGGCCTTACTCTAGTCCACTCAGGCTCCGACACTAACTTCCTACCATTACATATCACCAGGTCCACCTCACTCCAGAATGAAATCAGCCTATTTCCACTGGCATTACAAGTCACCTCCCCAAACATCCCAATGACATCATCAACATCAGTAGATCTACCCACCCTCGCATTAAAATCACCAACAAAAACAACCCTCCCCTTCTGCATGAATCCAAGCACATCCTCCTTCAACTTGACGTAACTATCCTCAATGACAGAAGCACAAGCACTATCCATAGGCATGTAAATGCAGCACACATACAATGCTTCCCTCCCTCTCCCACCTCCAACCTTCATTGGTGGGCATTAATTAGAATTCGCGCTGCAGTTTGAAAATAGCCTCTGAACACCTCCAAGAGTAGTAGATAATGGTAGCTGGTAGATTCCTCTCCCTCCAAACACCAACAGAAGTAGCGGAAGACAACAGCTTCAAGCAAAAAAAGCTTTCGAAAGACGGGTTGGGCTGGTCGCTCCACCTCCTAAGGGGAAGTCCCCAGCCACGTACCATCCGAGGTACGTTTCCAAGGAAACCCCAACCAAAATGTTAATAACTGTAAAAGTTCCAAAACAATATTAAAAAGAATGCCAATTATTTAACCCACATTGATTATTAAAATTTAGCATGTGCACTATAAGTTTTCCCACTCCTTAGCGAAGTTGAGGCCTCGAATCACTGGCTTGTTCCGCCAATTAAGAATCTATTCCTAAGCCAGTTAGCTTCTCCAAATTACCATTAATCTTTACACAAATGTAGCTACATAAACATTTTATATAACTTGCTCACTTGATTCACACTCGATCTCTATTATTGCTTTGATAGTCATTGGTTGATTCTGATATCTAAACAGGCCAATCTCAACTGTATATTCATATTCACAAACTTTGTTATCCTGCAAAAATTATCATTTATCTTGGAAACCTTAAATGAGGTACAATTTTTTTACCTTGCATACAGTAGACTCTGAGTAGTGTCCTTCAGTGACACATAGCAAAGTGGCAAAAATAAACATAAAAAAGCCCATATCGGGTTACCTAGAGAATGTGATATGTTAGCAACTATCAAACAATGAACTGACAAGCACACTCAAAGCATAGGTATTTGATTGATCGCTGCTTGTGTATATTGTATCTGTGATTTAGCTAGAATTCTGTACAATAGTCTGCACCTGGTGTTCATCAAGTAATAAAGTATGCATTTTGGTGATCATAACCGCCTCTCACCACATGAATATCATTTCATATTCAAATTCGTCCCGAAAAAAACTTTCCTTGGATAAAGTGTTGGGTACATTACTAAGGTTAGTCACATTCGAGTACCTGGTCGGTGTGTTTGTTCATCTCTGGCACTACAGGCTTATGAGGCAGCCTATGTACAATACTAACGGCTTCAAAGCTTTAAAAATAGACTTTCCTGAAACAACTGCATTCATGACAAAAAATGAAAACAAGTGAAAAAGCCCAATTTCCCTATACCAGGTTTATCCCGTTTAGGACACTGTTGGATGGATGTTGTTACTTAGGGAATGTGTATGAAATCAAGATTTGCTCTAATGCTACATCCTGATGCAACTATATACGTAGTATCCCGCACCTACCTTTTAGAGGTATAAGGTATGAAATACTGTAGTACGTACATAGATTTGTTGTTCACCGCACCTACCTGCAACTTCAGTTTGCATAAAGCGATGAGTTTGTGGTATTAAGGAGAACATGATCCTGGCCAAAGTAAGTTTTTGGCCGGCCTGCGAGACTATGGTATCACTTGCTGATTTTAGTTGGTTACTTTCTTTTAGAGGTTATATAAGCTATGAAATACTGTAAAGAAAGGTTCCTGAGATTTTTTGCTCTTGTGGTCATCATGGAACCGATGTAGTACACTTGCGCACCAAGTATCACTGTAGTATGTACATAGCTTTGTTGTGCACTTGGCTGCATGGCCAGTGTGACTATATTATAGTGAAAGAATTTTGGGGGATAAGCTACGTAAACTGTAGAGGGTTTATATGTTTAGCCTGTGTTTGTGCATAAAGCAATTTTAGTCTGATATCAATGCAAAAACGATTATATATGCTTTAACGCTTTAATCTTCTTTTCATGACATGACATCCCTATTTTCCCATTTGCAGCTAGCCTTGACAAATTTGAATTCTACAAGGAGAATAGATGCAAGAGTCTTCTATCATCCTCATTGTCCTAATGACAAAAGGACATATTTTAGTGAGAGCCTGCTACTGTGGGATGTTCCACTATACACACTAGCGCAAAGATGTCTTAGATTAGGGAGGGTAGTTATTATAGCTAATAGTCATAAGCACACCCAAGTTGAGATAGGCTAATGATCTTAGGGGCGGCACACAACCCCCAAGTAACATATGCCATTTGGTGTATGTTTCATTCATTCCAGAGGTGTGTGTGTGGAGGAGGGGACTGGGATGACTGGGGACAAGTTGTGATAGGCTAATGAGATCTTAGGGGTGGCACACAACTTCAAGTTTAAGCCATAATTATGGTGCATGCTTTATTCATCCTAGAGGGTGATGACTGGGAGGAACATAAATTGTCATAACCCTATACATAATGTTTTAGAATTGATTTTTGTGTGACATCAACAGTATTAATTTTTTTTATGAACCAATGTATGTGAACCATAGTAACTGCTTGGTTGATGGGGGGCACTGGCCCATTCTCTACACGTGCGCTGGCACCCACAATCCTATTGTGTTCCTTAGTCCGTTAAAAAACATTTGAGCAGATAGTTGCATGGCCCCAATATCAGGTAAGGACAACCCTGGAATCATCTGTCAGCCCATTTTGGCAGAGGAATTTCAGTTCCGTATTTTACAACAACATCCAACAGTGTCTCAAGTAAAAGTTTCGTTTTTTTATTCTGATTTTACCAAAAATCAGCATTTTTCAATAATTATTCTAAGAAAACAAAATAAATTTCAGCAAATGCAGAATTTAGCAAAGTTTTATTGTCAACTTTGATAGTCAGGGTTCACAAATTTGGGACTGTTATACTATCCATACTACAGGGGTTCCAAATTTGTGAACCCTGAAATTTTAGGGAGACAAATTTGTGAACCGCATTATGGTATTGTTGTAAAAAGTGCCCATGAATTGAAAGGTTCACAAAATTGTCATTCAGTTGCTCGAATTTTCAACATAAATCTGCAAATATTTTCCCTAAATGACATGAAACTGCTGAGTATTTCAAACAAAATTTGGAAACGGAAGGTTTTATACTTAGACACTGTTATCCCTTTTTTCCCGCAACCTCACGCTCCCTTCGTCATCCAGAGCTGCATGCACGCACGGAGCTGCAAATCGTTATGCTGAAGTGACGTCTCCAATGGATAGGGCCCTCAGCTGTCTAGCTCCGCAAGCAACACACAAAACAACACACGCACTCGCCAAACACACCACTTACGTACAATGGTCAGTCTCCCGGTTTGGCGATCGTGAATCTTTCACTGCAGTACAACGCTGACAGTAACGGCTTCCGAAACAGTAACCTCTCGGCTCACTGCGCATGCGCAGTAGCTACCGCTAATTGATTGGCTAGGCCACGTACGTATATACGATGGCGGCGCGTGGTTTACTGATTATACACGAGTGGCCAGTTTTGATAGGGCACGAGGGCGCAGCCCGAGTGGTCTATCAAAACTGAGTGTGCAACCAGTAAACCACAAGCAAAGAAAGCCATAGTATAACGTGTTTGTATGATGACATCTGGCGTAAGGCTCTGACCAATGACATGGCGCAAAAGCTTTCAAAACGCCCTCTTTTTAACGCACACCCTCGAGTGAGCTAGCAAACGATTTGGAGAGAGACGGCTGCAATAAGCGCTTTAGTTTAGTCCAGCTTGGCGGTTTTGCCGAAGCCACGGGCATTTCTCGAGAGTTCAACGTTACAGAGTGCGTCAAAGCTATTCTTTATCGCCCCATGCGCAAGTTTTGTAGTTGCGCCCCTCTGGCTCGCTTTCTCTCCCGCTATACCCAGCGCTCCCTAGAATGCAGCCTGTTGCAGTAGCAAGAAAGCTGAAAGTCACCGAATACTGTTCCAGTCCACTGGAGTAGCTAATTTTCAGACAGTGTATATACTATAGCAGTTTCTGGCCATTCTAGCCTGAAAACACTCCTTTCTGGTAAAGAAACAGCAGCACACAAAGAGTGTAAAAGCCCCCCAATTGCATTGCACGCTGCCAATTTCCTACTATCGTATAACTACCATAATTATACCCACTGTGGTTTATGCAAATAAGTTGACCCTCAGTGTGTTGGGTAGAAGAAGTTGTGGGATGATGCACTGGATCACGGCCCCTCAGTTATCAAGAACCTTGTGATGGTGATTACCTACCCAGATCATTCACCCAGCAAATGTCCTCTGTGTGATACAGCTGATCTGGACAAACCAACTCTGGCCGAACATGTCATCACCAACCACACAAAAAGTGACAACTCCTGGTGCACTCTACTTGACTCTTTGATTACCATGGACCCCACCTTCTTCAGTCATGTGTTATGCTTCTTACATGTTTTTGAACTAGTCCCTCACTCTATACATGTCATGCCCGGGCGGGCCCATTCAACATGAACTTCTTTAACTCAGAGAGGGGGCGCGGTTAGCATTATACGACGTACGTAGCAACTCCGATGCTTCTCCGTTTCGGATGTTACAGAGTAACATCGCGTGAAATTTTTTTTGCCGCTGCTTGCCCGGGCTGCGGCGGTGCGCTAAACCTACACAATCATCTGGGGTGACAACGTGATTTTCAGGTCAGTGTCAGTGGTCCGCTTCTTGGCGTCCTTGAAACCCCCTCTGGGTCCGAGGCCCCTGTCTCCACTGGCACGGTAGTAGCTCGCGGAGCCTGACACGGCCTTGGCGAGCGGGAGTGACCCAACTGGCCACAGGGCTCACACAAGAACCTGCGTTAAACATAAGACAGTGGTCTCGAGTTCACATCTCCACTTCAACAACTGCTTTCAACAACTGCTGTCAGCAGTTCCTCTTGCGTGAAACCGTGCATTTCCCACTATCAGACACCTCTAGGCATTCTGTACCATTCTCTTCAATATCCCTCCCCACCAGGTGCTCTCTCCACATTGAACCTCCACTGGATCCCACGAATACTGAAGAAGTCCGTTACTGCTGAATCTCCCACCATAGTCCTCACCATCTTCGCCACGGCCTTGAAAGTCTTGCCATTGTCTGAGACATCCTGACTGAAAACCCCCTTCTTGCTGAGAAACGTTTGAAGCATCGAATGAACGCCTCAGCCGCCAGGTCAGGAACTAGATCCAAGTAAACAGCCCTAGTTACACAGCAAGTGTACAAACAGATCCAAACTTTCTTTGCTCCTCCATGCTCGCACACAGAGAGGGCCTGCAAAATCAACTCCTGTGAAAGAGAATGGTCGATTCCTTGACTCTAAGCGAAGGTAATGGTGGAGCTACGTGGTGGTGATGTGTATGACTTCCCTTGAAATCTACGACATAAGTATGGTGCAATTGCAAAGTATTCTCAATACGATGCATTCCCCGTACAATCCAATATCGGGACCGAAGCTCTGATTGTGGCCTTGACTCCTCACTCCTCCATGCATGACTCTCTCATGACAGTCTCTCACAGTCAACGATGATCTCTGTTCAGCAGGATGGGGTGTTGCCAAACTAGGGACATCAGAATATTTTCTAGCCTGCCCCCACATCTCCAGATCCATGAGTCATCGAGGAAGAGGTCAAATTGGTGACTCCACTGTTGGAAGTGTGCTGACTCGGACATTGGCAACTGAGAGGCCTGTATCCGTACATGAGTGCAAATTGAATCTCTTCTGTGGTGAGCATGAAGTCACGGGGTTCCCCTTTGCAGCATGTCCTAATCTCTGTATGTATGGCGTGACTTGGAGGAGCCTGTGTTAAGGCTGCTATAGTTAGAATTGCATTGTGGTGTCCTTGGGTTCAGGAGAGTTGTTGTCCGTTTTCATCGTTCGTTGATTTTCATTTTGGTTAGGCATTCTTCACGCGCAGTAGCCATATTGTCCATCTCGGGAACGTCTCCTGTTGCCAGTGGCCCATGGAGCCACGGATATATTTTCTCTTGAAGATCACGCGAGGACGCTCCTCTCGAGGGAATGTCTGTTGGGTTTAGGACTCCTAGACAGTGTCTCCAAGTAGCATTAGGAATGAGCTCCCTTATCCCGTTCACCCTATTCTGCACAAACTGTTTTCACTCTCTCTCCCTATTTGTGATCCAGAAGAGGGCAACTTGTGAGTCGGTGTGGCAATCGATGCTCTTAAACTGTATCTCTGGTTCGAGGACCTGTTTTACAGTGGAGAGAAGTCTTGCCAACAGTAGTGCAGATAGGAGTTCCAGAAGTGGAATGGAGATCCTTTTCACTGGCGCAACTCTTGTTTTTGAGCAAACAAACTGGTTGTGAGCACCGTTGACGTCTTCTACTTTAGTTAAATTACGGCCGCATAAGCCTTCTCAGTAGTCCTGCGGTGAGAATGAGGTTGTAATGTCCTCCTTGGCAGTCGCTCGTGTCTGGTAGCAACGAGGTATCTTGATAAGAGCGAAATGCTGTAGGTCTGAGGTGAGTCACTCCCACTTATCCAGGAGTTCTCCTGTTAGCGGCTCGTCCCAATCCAATTCTTCCTCGCACATCTTTTGGAACAGGTGCTTAAACCTGACTGTTATTGGTGAGATAATTCGCTGAGGGTCGTAGAATCTCATTGTGAGACTAATTGCATTCCTCTTTGATGGACTTGTCCCCTTTATACGATGCATGAGATCACAGATATCGGCAATTACTTGGTCAGCTTCAACATCCCAACTCACTCCTGATCAATACGCCATTCCCTCAGCTCTAATTCCCACAGACATTCCCCTTCAGAGCACCTTTGTTTTTCAGGAGACAACTCCCCTCTCTACTTGAAGTATTCCCCTCCCTGTGTTCTTTGGGTTCTATATATACTGTGTTCAGTGAATTCTCTGAACCAACAAAACCCTGCTGCCTCAGAGAACAAAATTGGTAGTGAACGAAAATTAGTAAACAACAAACATTATGCATACACACAACATTAACCCTGTGAGTATAATTGTCATTAGTAGGTTAGCATGCTCTTGCTTGCAGGATTTATGCATTGTGTACTGTGATATGAAAATGAAGTGTTTCTATTTCTGATAGTTAATGAGGTAGGTGGGGTAGGACTTGCGGTTATCATATGTCATGTACACTTCAGATCCATTAGTGAATCCATTGACACTATCGTACCTCCGTTTTGCATATGGAAGAGTAGACCTAACACTATCCCCTTTCACAGTAGGCCTGGGAATTTCAGGAGGAATACGAAGACTCCTGTCAGGCTCCATTTTACAGCTCTTACCAGTAAGGACACTAACAAGAAATATTGCTCTCACACCATCTTGTACAAAAGCATAGTCATCAGAATAGCTGGCGTTGACAGCAAAGTAATTAGCCTGACCCCACATTCCATCACCTGCAAGTCTCATTTCAAACCCTTCCTCTCCATTGTATATAAGTGAGGGAGCATTTTTCCGTGTACCATGGAAGAGCTGCTTCTCATTGACTTCCCCTTTGTTCTTTCTCAAAAGCCTGGATTTCTCCTGGATGTACGATTTCCACAGCATCCTGTTCTGAATTCGGAAGATATTAGTAATATTGGCACTACTGAGTGTTGTTTTAAACTGAGATTTGACAGTCGTCCACTCATCAGAATACTGTGCAACCTTGACAATTTTCAGACGCTCAGTTTGATCTCCCCATTCGGAAGGAATACCTCGAGAGTCTATGCTGATTGCACTCATTCTGCGATTTGTATTTCGGTTGAATTTTTGTCTGCACCATATTCTCCCATACAAACGCATATACACTGCTAGAAGTATGGAGAGAAGAAGCCAAACGAGAAACACATAGAGAAATATCAATCCAAGGTTGCTTCCTGCCCCAGGTTGACCTGTAAAGTGTAAAGAAGAGTGTGCAAGCTGGGGACATACACCCGCGTTACAAGTTTAAATAGATGCTGCATGTAATTTGAATATACATAATTATACTTGGTTCACTAAGGCCAGTATTGCTAAAGTATGAGAGGTGAGCTGTTTTGATAGCCACCTGTATGGCAACGGGCGCAACCAAAGTTATGATTGGTATTCAAGCAAGCTTCACAAACTGACTGTTTACGCAGTTCATAGCGAAAGCAACCCGTAGAACATATTGCATATCTATGGCTTTAAATGAAAATGAAACACCCTCATCCCAGAGTACTACTATAATAGAGGAAGTGCAAGCGGTCTACAGATGGGGGGAAAAAGCTGAAACCCCCCACCAACTGTTGTGGTTAAGATTGCAATAATGTTTGCTGGCATGTATGCAACAGAAAGTCAAAGTCAAATAAACATTGCTATGCACAAAGGTTTTCCCAACTTGCGTAAGAGTAGGCCCATTCACATAAACTGTTTCAGAGTGCTCCTGTTTTTATGTGAGACACAAGACTAGTGAGTAAGAGGCAAGTGCAGTTACCCGCTGTTTCTTTGATAGTAATGATGGTTGATGCAGAGGTGTTGCCCCAGACATTGAAACCTAGACAAGTGTAGTTGCCAGAGTCAGCACCTGATGCATGTCGCAAGACAAGCACACCATCACTGGTGTAGTATGGGCCGTTTGTAGGGGAGCCGACTGTATAACAAAACTGTATAACAAAACACAAACAATAATAATCAGCTAGGTCAGGATCAATGTACAAGTTAGCTAGTACTTTTGTCCTTCTCTGATCCACATAATCTTAGGCTGAGGAATGCCATAGAAGTTGCACGGTGAGAATTCCGGTGTTCTTTCTGGATTAAGTGTATAATGCGGCAGCAATCCTCGAAGTAAGGTAGGTTTGCTTCCAGTAACTGCAGCTGGAGTCAGAGCAGAACAAACATAAAGATACAATAATGCACTAGCTATACCCTCAGTTGTCGCTGCACAAAGGAAGAACATAGCATAAACAAGCCAGTGAAGTCTACTGTAAGTCATACGATCCATCCTTCTATCTGCGCGAGACTACACGGGACTACGCTGACTTTCGTGCCATACGCACATCCGCTTGCACTATACTACCGGCTGCTGCTGGTTGTATACACGCATGCGCAGTACCAACGAAAAGTCTAGCTAGCTATACACAGCAAATGTCATTTTAACCAGGCTTAGTGGAAGTTGGAGAGATGTGAAAGAAGGAAGGAGTGTCTGGTTATTTGTGCGAGTGTAGGTGTTGACATATGTAACACCCACACCACATGCTACACTGATCAACATCTCTATTCAAGACTCATCGGAAAATTAATGCTATGTAGGAAGCTGTATTATAGGTGTTAAGTATTTATAATTATTTTTATTATACTGTAAGAAGTGCCGCCATCCTATTCACTATCTTCCCTTATCCTTCCTTCTACCTAGCTACACCCATCCAGTGCAAAACATATTATCTTATGTAGCTGCTTTGTATAATTTATAAACTCGCTGTCACTTTGTCTAAAGAGTTGGCTGTCTTAGTCAAACTCAAGAACTGTATGGAGAATTGAATATCGCGCACTGCGCAAGAACGAATCCTCTGGGAAGAGTCTTACACATGCCTCGTGGAAAAGACATTGCAGAGGAAAAAAAATTAATATTCAACATGATAATGGAGAAATCCGTCCATTGTTATTTTGCCATCACCAGCTTTATCCATGGCATCGAATGATGCCTGAGCATACTCCAGCAATATTCCCATAGCTGCATAAATGAACTTTACATTCTGCGATGCCATCTCCATCGAGACAATAAAACATGTTTTTAAAATACTCTATATAATTATACATATTTGAGATGTGAACCGGCCAGCGCTCCTCAAATTCATCACAACTCAGCTTCACACTTTCATCCACAAGACCAGCATTATTGCAACGTGTGTCAGAATTGACCTAGACAATGCTTCATTTTTCTCTGGGGTACTGTTTGTTAAAGTCAGCTCTACTGATTATATATAGCCACTTTTGTCTATATCCAGATTGCTTTGCGATACTTCTTTTTCTGGTACTTTTTAACGATACTCAGCCCTCCTCAGCCATCTCCACCAGGGTTTAGCTGCCAGTGCTCATAAGGTTTGGTTGACACTTTTGCCAACTTTTATATAATAATCACTATGATTCATGCATGAGCCAAATATCAGTGGGTAGCTGAACGTAGAGTTACAACACACTCTTGAGTTTGTTTATGAAACACCCACAAAAGTCTTTGGATAATTAGTGTTCTCTCTCTTTACAACATCACAAGGTTCATAAAGCATTCTCTTGCAGGGAGATGAGTTGGCTGATGTGCTATGTAGTAGAGACATGTGGTGACTTTACTGATTATCTAGCCACAGCTCCCCAGTCTACATGGTATTTGACTACCTGGTTGGATTATTACACATTGGATTACATCACAACTGAAGAAAACTAGTAATATCCCAACAGGTGCGATCCTCTTGGAATGCATTGTTATAGGTAAGGGAGTGTTATATTATCATTCCAACACCACAATCGAATCAAAATGGAGATCATGTAAATTAATTTGGCATTGAACAACAATCTTAGATGATCCTATTGCCAGCACCACAAGAACGACCATGGGCCTTTCTAGTCAGTGGCATGGGGCCATTCAACAATCTATGACATTCAACAACCTATGACAATAATAATTATTATTATACAAGGCTGTTGTCAGAAAATGACTACCTATTATTTCCAGGTCATCGCTGTTGTAACAAATACTTTCCAAAAGTGAGTAGCATCCCATTTTCATCATGTAAAAGTGGTCTTTCTCCAAAATATTACTATTGCATTCAGGGGAACTATACTTTCAGCTATCGAGGGTAAGAAGTGGTCGCATGCACCCATGCTTGCAATAACTGCCAGGATTCAAGGCTGAGTACACACATATTCTGGAAAAATTCCAATGAAACAGATACATAACTCAGTTATGGTGGATAAAAAAAAAAAGAAATGTTATGCAATGAACTATAGACAGTCATTTCCAGCAGGTTGCAATCAAAGAGCTGTCAAACACTTCATCCAATGCCTGGCTGGATACACCTGGTCCAAGTTTTGGATAAAGCGTGTCGGTAAAGTCATAATGACTACACAGTGAAATGTGTCACACAGTAATGTACTGAATATGCACACACATAGCATCTTTAATAAAAGCACTAAAGTGCAAACCCTCGGCGAACTGATTGCACTAATTGATGGGCTGGGCTTTGTATCTTTACTCGTGGTATCCCGCTAGTAGCTCGCGGAGAGTCTGACACGGGCTAAGTATAGTAGTAGATAGCATGCGGGTGTCGATACACGCCCTTCGTTGTGACTTCTTGTGCCTGCAAGATACACAGAGCGAGCGGACGCGGTCGAGGTAAGCCTGTGCTAATTTGCATATTGGCTTGTTCACTTGCTTTTCACGCCATAACTTTAGAACGCAGTTGTTGTATGAAAATCGCCTTTTTAAAAATGAAGCCAGTGTAGCGACGAACCCGTTGGTATCGCTATTTTGTTATCTCGTTGCGCGTAGTCGCAGAAAACGTGGTAACAGACAGACTGACTGACTGACTGACTGACTGACACACTTACGGGACAACTACCGTAACCCTCGCTGCGCATGCGCGCCGAGGGTTAACAAGGGATTAGGATTATTGTGACTTGGAAAAACAACTCAGACTGGCCCGATCACACAGTTTCTAAATGATCAGCATAAGCCATACACTAGGCATGTATATACACATCTCCAAATCTGGGCTACTATATTTTGTAGCGTCATAGGGAGGTTCGTGATCTTTACTGCAATAGTTAATGAAGACGTAAGTTGTCTTTGCCTAAACAGAGAGTAATCGGAGTAGAAGAACAGACCAAGATTTTGTTCACAAAGGGGTTCATACTTTGCATGGTGTGGGCTGGTCATATGAATAATCACGTATGTAACAAAAATGTGACAAAAAAAAAGAAAAAGAAAAAAGTTGTGGGATTAGAACTCGCTATAATACAGAAAACAGGCTTTCTCCATTCATGTGTGCACATTATGCCCGGTCAGTATGTGGCCACACATGTATATAAAGTGAGCAGAAGGGCCAATTACTGCACTTCTGGGGTTTGGTTGAAAAAGTAAAAGTATCTGATGAATACCTAGTTCACTGCATATCTCATCATAACAGTGGCTGCCGTCAAGATACCTGAGTAGAGAACAAAAATGGCCATTATGGCTACCTTGTGTAATCCCAGACGTGCTACTTATACGTACTAGACGAATGCAACACAATTCTGGCGAGCAAAGCAAGCAGTTTAATATTTGTGCATGTTTCCATACAGCAGTGCTGGCCACAACATTAGAACAATCTGATGACTAGGTGGGCTTGCTTCGCTCGCCAATTCAATCAAAAGCGCGTGCAAACCCTTGGCGAACTGCGCATGCGCAATACTGCTAATTGATGGGCTGGGCTATTTGTATGTGCTTACTCGTGGTCTCCCGCTAGTAGCTTGCAGAGAGTCTAGCTACAATAGTAGATAGCATACAGGAGTCGATAAATGTCATTGTGACTTCCTGAGCCCCCAAGGTACACAGAGCGAGCGGATCAGGCCCAGTGCGATTATGCATATTGGCTTTCTCGCTTGTTATCACGGCACATCTCTCAAAAGCAGTCGTTTCAGGAAAATCGCCCTTTTTATTTTTAGGCTCGCGTAGTTCTGAAACCGCTGGTATCGCTAATAGGCCACCTTGTAGCCTGTAGTGCCAGAATAAGCGTCAACACACAGACACATACAAACCACCAACTACTAACCCTCGCTGCGCATAATTTTACTCTCAACATGTCAAATTTACTCTATACATGCCGACACAAAGATGTAGGGAAGGGGTTAAGAAGATGATGACAAAAATTGTGAAATCACGTGAAGGCCAAGTTCTCGGGTGGCGAACAAAAAGCACGTGTATGAGGCCTTTAGGAATTTGCACAAATAGCTAGTTGTCGCCCCGTGACGTATTTTGAGTATGTTTGAAGGCCTAACTATATAACTGTTTTGCAGCCTTCTTGAATGCAGACCACGTGAGATTTGACCAGTGCCATCCCTACATAGACAAGTGAATTAAAAATTCTTCAAAAAAATGGCGAACAATAATAGGTATGATATATATAAAAAGCAAGGAGACAAGACAGGGATGACCTAGTGTATGTGATCTAGTAGCACATTATTGATGATGGAAAACTGACATTGCTCGATTGTGTATATAAATTTTCCTCCACACAAGCCATACATTGTTGCAAGGCACGAGTGTGCTCTTCATAGAATGACTTATTTCCTAGGCAAGTAATGCACAGGTGTTTCCCTCTCTGACAGCTTTGGTTGTGACTGCATTGTGTGCAGCCTAAGACTACAATGTTTGCTCAAGTAACCAGTTTTACAATGCTGCATTCTTGGCCCTCCAGAGAATCCCTTTTACCATTGTCCTCACACTTTAAATATTATACCATAAACAAATTCATGTGAAGTGGCTACAATAATTTATAGGGCTGGCAGGTACAAGCCTTTCTGAACATAGATCATGTCCAAAGTGGGATCTGATTGAAACTGAAAGTGAAACATACAAATCTCAAATTTATTGGCATAATGCAGGATGATATGTGTCATGCCCTATATACTAAGTATTACTGTACTTAGTGACTGTCTACCTTAGTGACTGTCTACCTTAGTGATTGTCTACCTTAGTGATTGTCTACCGACAGTGCACAATTCACAATCAAAGTGTTATAGCTGCTACATGAGTGTCATCATTACTTTGCATAGGGCTGAATGTAGTCCGGTAGATGTGCTTCAGTGGTATCAGGTTCTACCAGGACTGGATACTTCTGCAAGTGGCGGATGAGACCACGCATCAGACCATATTGAATCAGCAGTCTGCCAAGAAAACAGTACACAAACAAACATTGTAAATAAAAACACTGTAAAAAACTGAGGAGAAAAAGGAGCCATTAGTGAGTCTCAAGATGCACTGTTGGAAGGAGTATATGAAAGGTTTGGTTTTGTGCTTCTAACCAAGCTGCAGAACTTCATACAACTGCCAGAATAAAAAACAATAAAAACACTAAAGTGCAAAATCTCAGCGCAGTGCGCATGCATGGTAGCACTTATTGATAGGCTGGGCTATCAGTGTGTGTTTAGCTACATGTGGTCTCCCGCTAGTAGCTCGAGTCTGACGCGTATAGGCTAGCTACAGTAGTAGATAGCATGCGTGAGTTGATACATGCCTTTTGTTATGACTTCTTGTGCCTACACACGCCCCATTGCTGCTGGAAAAACACATACATATACCAAGTACTACAACCCCTGCTATGCTTTATGCAACAGGGGTTAATTATACACAAAGTTAATGCATACAACATTGACGACTAAGCATCTCAAGATGCATACTACTCCCATTCTTATGACTACCATCCAGTGGGATGTTATCAGACATAACTGGCAGCATACACTACATGAATGCAACGCATTGTTGGCGAGTGTAGCGTGAGTAGTTCAATATTTCGCGTGTGTTTAGGGCGCATATAGAAAATCACGTTGAACACTACGGTATGTGCAGTGCCCGCCAGAGCCATCACAAAATTCACGCATAAATAGCCTCGCTTCGCTCGCCAATTCAGTAGTACTTTGGTGGAGCATGATAGTGTGCTAAGCAGATCAGTCGACCCGCAGTGGGACCGGAAGTCTGTCTTATTAACGCTCCATTAACTCATGCATTATGCATTACATCATTGTAGTGAGAGCTGAATAATCATGTGTTCTTTGCTCGGACTTGCTGTCATATTTTCTTCTGACTGGCGATACGCTTGTAAAAAAGGAGCAGATATTCGTGTAGGTCAAAGTAAGCCGGTGCCAGATTCATGGGTGTGGGACGCACGACGGGAGAGATATGGTCCTGAACGCGTTGGTTGTCTTGCTAATGAGCTGTGAGGGTATGTGCAAAACGAGTCCGAATAGCAGTTCCAACAGAGTATCAATGTATTTCTCCTTGGCTGTGTAGAAATTTGTTCCCATGAGTGGTTTGGAAGATATTTGTAAGCAAAGTGTATGATTTGTGGCATACTTTTAGTCGACTATAAGACGTGTTCAGTGTTACAACACTCCATGCTCCCCAATACACTCTGTTTAACTTACTTTGGTCAAGTTTAGTACATTTAAGGTTCATAATCGATATCATTTATGTTCGGACACTGTTCCTGCTTCTTCTTCTTGTATAACTCAAAAACCGAAAGAGATAAAGCCATGACATTTTGTAGGAATGTACATATCGATAACAACATGTGCAACATCATAGTTTTTGTTTGTAAACAACGTTATTAGCTGTAAACAACAACAAAATTGTCCCAGGCAATACATTATAATGGACATACTACATGTGTCAGTGTAACTCACAATTGGTAAGAGCTATGTGAACGAAAGTTTGTATACATTAATGTATATTCAATCACCAACATCAAAATCACAACAATACATGTTTGTAAATAACAACAAATAGCCTCAGGCACTTTCTTTAAAAATACTTCTTCACTCCTCAAACTTGCTAACTGTAGCACGCATGGAGGTGAAACTTGGTGCGCATGTGTATTACATCGTTTCCATGACGATCACACCAACAAATAGCCTCAGGAGGCACTTTTCTTTAAAATTACTTCTTCCAATGGTGCGTAGCACGCATAGAGGTGAAACTTGGTATGTATGCCTATTATATCATTTCCATGACGATTACATGTTTCCACAACGACCTCATATTGTTTGAAAAAGCCTCAGGCAATTTTCTTTCTCCACATATTATTTGAACAACTACAAATAGCCTCAGGCATTTACTTCTTCACTCCTCAAACTTGCTAACGGCAGCTCACCATGGAGATTAAACTTGGTACGCATGCGTATTACATCATTTCCATGATGACAACAAGCATTTTTCTATAATTATTATTAATTTTTATAGGGGCTTGCCCCCTTTCACAGAGATATACGTAGTAGTATATAAAAAGGAGTGGAGACAAGTAAATTAAAATTCCTAAAAAAGAGGCATATAGGGATGGTATAATTATAAAGAAAGGGAGACAAGATAGGGATTGGATACATGAAGCATGGACAATGAACAGATTTGAGGACGCTGACACCCCCAACCCCATCACACAATCCCTATATTGTTGCCTAGGTGAAGTATTAAACATTCACGATTACAATACTCAGAACTTGTAATACAAAAAAAGTCACCAACACCGTTATAGAGTCCGAGTGGAGTTTAATTAAAGGGAATGTGGCAGTATAAAAGTAGAAATGTTACTAAAAACAACAGGGACACAGTGAAAGAATGCTTGCTTTTAGTCCTTAAAAAAAGCCACATTCCGTATAAGAGTAGCACACCAGGCAACAATATAGGAATGTGTGATGGGATCGGGGGTGTCAGCGTACTCAAATCTGTTCATTAACCATGCTTCATGTATCCCATCCCTATCTGTCTCCCTTTCTTTTTATACCATCCCTATATGCCTCTTTTTTTAAATTCGCAGGATTTTTTATTTACTTGTAAAACTGTTACTTGTAAGGTCCAAAACTGCTCTACTATTGACAGTATTGAGCATATTTCAAGCCACTCCGTCCACAAGGGGGAAGAGCTTTTGACGCGAAACATGATGTCATATCCGTGCGAGATCTAGCTAACTATCAAGAAATGTGCCCCAGATCCAGCTTTTCCAGGTGCTGCCTTGAAGAGGCTACTTTTGTACACTGAATGTTGTGCTTACGGTGGTGCTGCTATGCCTCTGTATCACCCAAAATCATGTAGATAAACTCTGTCTTGCTTACCTGATCCGCTCGCTCTGTGTACCTTGGGAGCTCAAGAAATCACAACAAATGGCATGTAGACTCCCGCATGCTATCTACTACCGTAACTATCCCGTATCAGACTCTTCGCGAGCTACTAGTGGGAGACCACAAGTAAAAGCATACAAGTAGCCGAGCCCATCAATTAGTAGTATCGCGCATGCGCAGTTCGCCACGGGTTTGCATTTTAGTGCTTTTCATTTTACCAGTAGCCTGAAGGACCGACACACTGGTCCTTGCGAACTGCTGTTCGGACGGCCTAAACCGGGTATGTTGGCGAGGTCTGCCAAAAAGGTTGCCCGCAACAGCTGTAGCGCCATGCTCAACGTGTTCCGTATTCATCGAGGATCAGTAAGAACCAAACAGGAACACTCCAGCACAAGTAGTTCGCGAGATATTCTCGCTATAACACACCCATTACAAGCCGTCAAAACCGGAAGAAGGCACATCCGGTCAAAATTAAATTTTGCCCATTGCGGGTCGACTGAGATGCTGATAGTGGGTCGTACTGTAAGATTCACAATCAGGTGTGCAGGTTTGTCTAAACAGTATGCCCCGTGCTCAACCCCTGAACCTGGTTCTAGCACCTTGCACTGTGTCCAGGAAATGTTAAGCACATTGAAGATGCGTATGTCACTACTATTTGCACACGAGACAAGCCGGGACACCCTCATGGCATTTAGTTCGGGGAGGGGATTTAAATGAGCATTTTATGCTCGCAACGATGACGACATGCTGATGCTTCTTCATTGTCGGATGGAGATTTTGCATGGCAGAGATTGTTATGTTAACGTCATCCATGAATGCATCAACTTTGCGGCGAGTGTCAGCAAATTCACAGCCGTATTACATGGGTATGTGTTAACTGCATAATATATGTAAAGCACTAAAGTGCAAACCCTCGGCAAACTGCACATGTGCGGCACTGCTAATTGATGGCTGGGTTATTAGTAGTATGAATTTACTCGTGGTCCCCCACTAGTACCTCGCGGAGAGTCTGACACGGGCTAGCTACACTAGTAGATAGCATGCGGGACTCGATACACGCCCTTCATTGTGACTTTTTGTGCCTTCAAGATACACAGAGCAAGTGGGCCCGGTTGGGGAAGCCTGTGCAAATTTGCATATTGGCTTGTTCACTTGCTTTTAATGCCATAACTTTTTAACGCAGTAGTTATACGAAAATAGCCTGTATTAAAATGAAGCCAGTGTAGAAATGAACCTGTCGGAATTGCTATTTTGCTGTCCCGTTGCGCGTGGTGGCAGAAAACGCGGTAACAGAACGATGGAATGACAGACATACTCACGAACCAAGTACCGTAACCCTCGCTGCGCATGCGCGCCGAAGGTTAATTATAAACTCAGTTTGGCCTAAGTGCAAACCTTTCATCGACGTTCTTATTTCTGGGGTCATTCATTGTACACATATCCTTCACAGTGTGCCCTGCCTCCAGTCCACAGTACAGCCGGAAAACATCATTAACCCGAGGATAACCACTAGCACCTGAAATTCAAGTGATGCAAAAGGAGACAGATCACAAAAACCGCTTCTAGAAATTATGTATGTCATGAATAGCAGGGTGGATATGCAGGTAAGCTTGCCATCATACAAGTCAAGGACTCTTGTATAGTTACAGGTTTTTGAATTGTAGCACCAAGAAAGGATTGCATCTAGTCCAGCATTGCTCTAACCGCTACTTACTGATGGAGCTAGCCTGGCTCCATCGACGGATTAGACCGTGTGATGTGGCCCGACCCATCAATAAACGGTGCTTTATGCGTACATGTGTATTGTAAACATGCATGCTCCTGTACCTTGCCCCATGGGGTTGCATTTCAGAGCTTATTACACAATGTCCTTACCTTGAAGAGCGACGTAGTCCAGACACTCTCTAGCAAGTTGATGGTCAGTCAGTAGCAACTGCACCTCCGGCATGGTCACATACACGTTACAATACTACAAGAAACAAACAAAAAGAATAAAACACAGGGTAATGTTTGAAATAAGGTACATGAAATGGTGGTGATGTGAAAGCTGTACCTGAAATATACTGATGAGCTTCAAAAACCCATATGCCCTGCAGTTGTAAAATAGGTGCAGTAGAAAGAATGGTTTTGGTGAGCGAAGCGAGCAGTTCTATTTTTCGGATATTTCACGTGTATTAAATAGAATCACGTGTAACATTACAGTATGTGGCAGTACATACGCAGAGATGAAGATGACTAGGAGGGCTCGCTTTGCTCAGTGTGATGGTGCCACTGCGCAGTCTAGTAAAGTATTAGATATTTTATGAGGATACAGGCACCGCCCTGTGACACACACAGACGCGACCCACAATCAGCGACAGACACACCGACACACAATACAAAAACTCTCCCAGATTGACGACCCACATCCTACCACGGTCTACTGACCAATCACAGTAAAGATGACGTGACTACGCGTGCCGATGGTTAATGAAAGGCACTGAAGTGCAAAACCCCCGGCGATCTAAAACGTGTGCGCCTGAATATGCATTGCAACACATATAGATACGCATGCATGGGTCGCTAAATGATGGGCTTGGCCACGCGGTCGATTCACACGGATGCTAGCTCGCTGAGAGTCTGTCAAGGCAATGTAGGTACATAGATAGCGTTCTAGGAATTGCGGGACTCAATACTTGTCCTCTATCGTGACTTCTGATGCCTCCACAGTCACAACGCGGGTGGATCTAGTCGAGGTAAGCCAGTGGTAATTAGAATATCGGCTTGTTCACTTGGTTTTCATGCCATAACTTTTGAACGCAGTACTTTTACGAAAATCACCCGTTATAAAATGAAGCTAATGTAGCACCAAACCTGTTGGCATAGACGTTTTGGCGGTCTAGTTGCGCCCAGTGGCAGAAAACTGAAGTACTCTAACCCTCGCTGCACATGCACACCGAGGGTTAATGACATAATTACAGGTAAGTAAAATTACATACGCATGCGTGATAGTAGTCTACTCCCTCACACTCAGTAACAAGCTAATAGTGAGGACTATATACAATGTACACACGCTTACACGAGATGCTGAATACATTCCTTCACCAGGCTGATGTAGACCTCTGACAGACAGGCTATCTTAGCCACGTGGTTGAAGCCATTGATGTATGGTAGAATCTATAGCACATCCTTTGGTTACAACATACAGCAGAAACACAAACAATCACGCCACCTGTTGGATTGTGAGATCCCAGCAGGTGTCAATGTCCTCCTTGGAGCAGATGTATATAGGCACATGATGGCCGTGGACAACTGGAGGTTGTGGGAGTGAGGGTGATAGTCTTTAGGTAGAGGCAGTTGGTGTCGTCTGGGAGAAGAGAGAGACACTTGTGGCACTGTGACATGAAATGGGACCTACTCTACTTTTTTTAGTTTGAGAGTGTGAAGCTTGGAGAGGTCTTAGAAAACATTGTATTCTTAACTCAAGGTACTCTCACTTGCGCAATGCTAAAGAGCAATCCACTAGTCAATTTTGAATTGGAAGGTGAATCAAGCCTTGCAAATTGTTTCTCAAGCGGAGACAGATGTCTGGTTACCTAAATTATGTTGTGACTTGTTACAGCCGTGTGTTTTGCAAAATACACATCTGCAAATATCTCTACATCAGCAAACACTGTTCTTGCACAGTTATGTAGATATGTAGACTTCTCCACACACACTGCACCCCACACGCTGGCATATGTATGTATGTGTTGATGTACTGAATACTCAGCCATATGTACTTCTCCAAGTCACATGCTGCTACTGTATGCACCATGACTAAACACGTATAGCAGCATGTGAATGTCAAGTTGTCAATGGCTAGCCCAACAATCCGGTGCAGTGGAAAAGGTATTGTACATGTATATACTCATGTTATCCGGTACTCTAACACCAAGCAATGGTATAGTATTTTCTGATGTGAGATGGACATTTTGCATGTACATAGTGGGACTGACCTACATTTACAGTGCAGAGGCCATGGGAGTTGAGTTTCTCAAACACCTGAGTCATGATTGCCTCCAGCTTCCCTCTGTGTGTATTGTCAGAGAGAAATGAACTCTCCAGCTGCAACAACACATACACACACAGAGCTTTATGAAAGTAACTGACTAATCATCAGAAAACCTAGGCTCTCTGGTGTTTCATGCACCTGTGTGTGGACCTACTGCAACAGACACACACATTACTTGCAACTACATGCAACGTATCTATCATGTTGAGCTTCTTGCATAAAATACCGAGTATTTCTTACTTCACAAGTTCTGAAGGTATCTCCAACTTTTGTGATGATGGGCTCATAAGCAGTGGTGCAGGTAGAAGATGTGAACACAAACACAAAGTTAAAGATGAAGGCATTGCGGGCATATTTCTTGTCATCTATGCACCGAGGAGATCCGACAATGCGATAGCCCGAAATATCCCTGAAAAGGATATACTCATGTCATTCCCTGTATTCCTCAGAAACAAGAGAATCTGGTCACAGATACTTTGTGAGTGAAATGATGGAATCAGTGAGTTCATAAGGCCTAAGGGCTGTGTGTCAGTGTGATAAACACTCACACAGAAATGAGCCTGTTGTATAGGTTTGGTTTGGTGATGATGAGGTCGTGGACGGCTTCGAACGACTCCTGCATGGGGAAACTCCCAGGAACCTACAGCACCGGACAGGACTAGTGTCATGGTATATACTCTGCTAACCCTTAGTGACGGCGTGATATTACCTGGCATGATATTTTCGGCCCAGCGACGGGATCGAACTCACTGAAAAAGAAACACTTGAGCTCTTCAGCCATTCCAAGCAATGCACACCAACAAGAGGTCGAAGGTCGAGGAAATTAACCCCACGCGTATAATATTTGAGCAGAAAAGTTAGTAGTGAGTGCTTCTATTGCACTATGTTACACTCTTACTTTTCATAGATGGAGACAGGGAAAGACAGAGTAAGAGCACTTTTCAAAAGAAGGTTTGTATTTTCAATTTTCATCTAGTTTGCTAGCTAGCTTATGAGAAAAATTCAGCTACATGTTGCTTCACCTGCAGGAGTGTAATAATTGAGCCGTATTTTTCATCAATATTTGTTGCTATGTGTAGGCCTGGAGAACAGTTTATGTTGGAGGAGGTGCGGGAGTTCCAGGCCACAGTGCTAGTGGCCACACTCACTGGGTTCCTGCTGGGAGGACTGGTGGGTGCTCGCTATGCCGGAGACAAGTTTGTCAGGATCAGTCAGAGTTCAAAGTTCTCTTCAACTATGCAGGCACAGGTAGACCATTCTTTTCTGTTAAGAGACTTAAAATATTTTAATGAGTGTGCCCAAGTAAGTGTACAATACTGCTCACTCAAAGTGGTGTAATGAATGACACCACCAAGAGCGTTATTAATCTTTCTTCACGGGTAACGGGTATATATATATGAGGATTATGTCATTCTGATGTTGAAAAGTGTGTGAAATCTGGTTTTGTACAAACATTTTTCGCTGCATCTGATTGAAGTCAGAAGTAAATAATGTTAACGTTAATGTTCATATCCTTGCAGCGTGAGTTGCACACAGCGTCATTTCTGGGGTTCACCAGGAATGGATGTCGCTGGGGCTGGAAGTTAGGTGTCTTCTCTGCAATCTTCAGGTATTATGTTTGTGTTTTACATGCACAATTCCACTGGTATTGTTATGCACATCCCCAGTGGAACAAATATCTTACTATCAACATACAGAGATACTAGTGATGCACTCAACTACATCGCAGCTGGAGGCAAGTCTATTGATGTACACCACACATCTTTTATTGCGGAGCTACTCAATACTGTAATACTATTTCGTTTGTAGCTGTGAGTGGATCTCTCTTCAGACTACCCTCAGGAATAAAGCCTGCCATTGGTGGAATGGTGTTGGGCACATTATTAAGGTATTTATCAGTGGTAGCATTCCTCCTTGCACATAGTGAGGGTGCTGTTACATGCATACAGTATGGTACTATTTATTGTTGCTTCGTGTTAGTCTCTGTTCTAGCCGCAACTTATTCATTTCTGAAGGTGTGTATATACAGTTATCTTTAATCCCGTGTGGATGATTGAAATAATAACTGCGTTAATGCTTGTTTGTGCCCTTGTGAGCTACAGATAATATGGGAAAATACTGCACAATTTTTTAGTTAAGCTGAAATAAGCCTGTAGGAACGAGGTGGGGTGTTGGACGACGATGATGTTGTAAAATATCCACATCCTATGCCAGACAGGCAATCTTTCGTACACACATGTACATCAAAGGGTAGGTATATAGAACGAATGTGAGTGCTAGCCAGATTTATGCTCACTGCCCATTCACACCTTCAACCCTTCATATCGTCAAAGCAATTCACGTGATAATTTGAACCATGCTCTAAGTAAAAGGTGATGCATAATAATTTTCTCTCTCGCAATTGATGTGTGGCGTGGAGGAGGGAGAACCTGGGGTCGAGGCTTATAGCATTCACGGTAAGGTGACGGCTATCAGACCTCTTTTCTAGTGTCAGGAGACTACACTAGTGTAGCTAGCTGGTCATTTCCAGCTTCCACTCGTAGTAGGCCTGAGCCCAATCTGCTCGATCTTTCCCCTGTTTTTCTTTCCAGCATTTCATTTATAAACTGCCTATTTTGCTCACAACGTTGCCTATTTTCCCCACCACTCAGATGAAACTCAGGTGAACTTCACAATACACAAAAATACACATTATTTTATTGAAATTGTATTGTAACATGCTTCTATATAGTCATTTAGAGTGCATTCTTGCCTTTCAGTGAAGGTGTTCCATAGTGAAAAGACCCGCTCAGATGCAGCTGATGATGGCTGTACTAATAATTATTACCTTGCGAGCTGTGTAGCCGGATGTGCTTAGCTTAGCGAATTCCACTCATGCGCATGCGTCAGCCAGTCAGGCTCGCCCATTTTTCCCGCATCATGCTTGCTGCTTGACGGTGCCTATTTTCCCAATTATTCTGGCGGCAGATAAAGCACAGGCCTAACTGCTAGTCAACTAGTGTCAATGTTCATCAGAAATACCTCATTCCTACATGCAGTGTTCCAGTGGGTGTGTTCATGCATGGCCTGGAGAGAGGGCTGGTGAGCCAGGACCAGAGAGATGAGATCAGGAAAAGAAAATATGACCAGTACAGACTACGGCAACTACAGTGGTAGGCCATTGTGAGATGACTAGTGGGTGAATTCATTTTTAAGTGGGAGCAAGCTTAAGCCTGTTTACATACACCACCTTGTCTTCACACTATACCAAAAATGCTCCTTGTTGACACTATAGAAAGGTATTGGCCGTTTTGACAACTATTTCAAAAATAGTCATTTTTCATATGGGTCACTGTATGTACATACAAACTGAGTGTTGTGTGTTGGGTTGTGATAGGTGTGTATTACACAGGGAGAGTCGTTTGGGGAGCACAGCCAGGCTAATAGAAGGACTGGAACAAGAGCTAGAGAGCCCAGGATCCCGTCCTCTTAGCTCAACATCATGTGAAACTGAACAAATGACTTCAACCGCTAAAGATGATGTTCAAAGCTAATGGTCAATGTTAGTATAAGCAGAGGTACACTCTTTTACTTCATACATATACAGCTAAGCGATCATCTTAGCAAGTGAGAGAACTCTCGACCATTCGGCAGCATTCACTGTGCTCTTTGGTGCCTGACAGAGGCAGTACGTCATTCTAATCTTTGTAGTTCAAAGGTGATGCCCTGCATTTCTTGAGCAACTCATCTTCAGGAACATGGTGTCGTAATAACGTATGGGTAATAGATTCCGGATTTTTGTTACGGATCGTGTGCGCACTCGAATAATTATTTATGTAAGTTCTAGAAATAAGTTGTTTTAACAACATAGTGTTGCCTCAAATTCACCCAGATTCAATCTCTGAGAGTCTAAATGCAAAATTTTCCTGGGGGAGCATGCCTAGGCGATGGATAGGACAACTCTGTGATTTCCCCCTAGCTTCAACACTGTGAAACACCGACTTGCTGAGAGCAGTCCCCCTTTCAACACAAAGAATCCGTAAAATGTTAGAATAAACAGCCAGTCAATTTCAGCCATGACCTTTCTGTCATGTTTGCAATTTTTAGGATTGTTTCAACAAAGCATAACATTATAATGTGAAAACAGCAGCCCAAAAACAAAACAAGGCTTACATTAAGTATGGATAGAAGAAGTGAATGTAGGTCTGCTATAAAAAGCAAGGAGACAAGTCATCCAATAGATGATGGCTACATAATCCACACTCACATTGCTTGCTCTTGTGAAAACTACGAAGTCAAAAGAACAAATAACTATTCTACCACACAAATTATTGTATTGTCGTGCCTCTTTCGTCACACTCTTTGAGTGCTGACTGATGTAAGCTAAAAATGACAGTGGGATGCTGTACCGAGGCAAGCAGAACCGCAGAACTGTAAAAAAATTGTACGACTGCATCACGTGGACTATAAACAGGTCATCCGGCTGTCTTGTTTGCCACCCTTACCATCACCCATGCAGTTAACTGAAATGTTCCAATTGTTGCTGCCAGTAGATATCTCGTGTTCGCTTGTCCAAAATGCATTTTAATTATTACCAGCGAGGTATATGTTTGGAAAAGCTTACTCATTACCATCACATGCATAGTGTGAGCTGTTTATTTTTCATGCATGTTATATACTACTTCCTGTGGAGCTTAGCATCTGATTGTAATGCCATATCATACCATGAAAAGTGCTTGTGCAAGTAGCACTCTGTGGGAAACTCTCAGAATCAAATGTGGGTTTTAATGCACTTGATTGCAAACCAGTTGCGTATACTTAATCAATTCTCACAAATTTTTACCACCAGATCGACGTCAATATACTGTTTCTCCCGTGTATTAAGTGTCATAGCCCATTAGGAGGTGTAGTAGACAGCAATGTCTTGAGAGAAGGTAGGTATCTGGTCTTGCAGATGACCTGTGCACATTACTGATGTAGTTCCAATGTCCTCTCCAGTGTGGGTGTTGAACCAGTGGCCAGTGTAGTTACCTGCAGTCACAGCCACAACACTCAATCACTAAAATGAGCATTCTCATGTAATTATTCATTCTGAGTGAGGGCATAGCACAGTGCTTTGAAGTTTGCCTTTGTATTGTGTTGTACTGTGTTGTAGATTTGAACCCATAACCTCAGCTAGTACAGCACTAGCCTGGAGTGCAGAGTGTCCTGGGTCTGAATTCCACCAGCGCAGCCATGCAGCTTTGAACAATACCCATGCACTAGTTTTGGTGAAGGGAATTGGCACATGTTTTGCCCATGCACAAGCAGAATTAGCTATCACAGCCTAGCGCACATCGCAAAAGTGAACACACTTCAGTGGAGTATTGGGGTAAGAGTACATCCACTAGGGAATCAATACTTAGAGAAAATGAAAAGCACCACCACCAAACTGGACACCCGGGGTATTAGTATGCGTTTACTCGTTGTTTCCTGCTATATAGTAGCTCGCGGAGAGTCTGACACGGGCTAGCTACAGTAGTAGATGGCATGCGGGAGTCGATACACGCCCTTCGTTGTGATTTCTTTTGCCTTCCAAGATACTCAGAGCAAGCGGACCCGGTCGAGGTAGCTTGTGCTAATTTTGGCTTGTTCACTTGGTTTTCGCGCCACATCTCTCGAACACAGTACTTTTACGAAATTCGCCAAATTCAAAATCAAGCCAGTGTAGCGCTGAACCGTTTGGTATAGCTATTTTGCTGTCACGTTGCACGTGGTGGCAGAAAACGTAGTAACAGACGCACGGACTGGATGGACAAACAAATGAACCAAGTACGGTAACCCTCGCTGCGCAAGCTCACCGATTACTGGTGACTTCGAAGGTTGTCTTCTAACTCATTGCATTGAGCATTCTTTCTCTTAATCTGTCTTACAGTGTTTTAGCCAGCACAAGTTTGCGTATAATGCTTTTTGGCCCACAATGCTTGTAATAGAGTACCTGATGATGGTCCACTGCAGCTTGTTGTCAATGTCAGGCCAGAGTGACTTGTACATTTCACTCCAGAGTGTTGGTTGGCCCAGGTGAAACAGTCATCTTGTACCCAGGTCACTATCAGCTGTTGTCCTCCCTGCCCCACTCCTGCCATGCCCCAGGCTCGAATGTTGTATGGTGGAGCAGGGCTGACCGTTGGATCACTCACATTCCAGGTGTAGTCAGCCAGTGGGAGACGAGACACAAACACTGAAAATGGCTTGAAGATTGGGTAGAGATTATTAGGATCCACCCAGCTGTCCCACCACCAGCTCCTGGGAAAGGCAGATTATCATAATATTCCTAAAAGTTTAATCGTCACGTACATGGAAGTGCCAGCTCCCAGAGCAAAGAGTGGAGCCCACAGTCCATTGTGCAGTGACACCCCAGCCTTGTCATTGTTCTATGAAACAGAGTGGAACCTCTGACAATAGACACTCAGAAGAGAGGACAACCTCCCAACAATGGACAAACTGTCCACACCCAGTCGATAACCACACACTTCATACATTTTGATAACCTCTGAATAAATGAAAAACCTGACTACCACGTTCTAGCAGAAGTCTTGCGCTTTAAAAGCCATGCTGCCAGTTACTTCTGGAGCATTCCCCAGGGAGCAAACTGTTGATACACATGTGTTCTCTAGCAACCAATCGGCAGAACCATAAAGTTAGAGTATAGCTAGCAGTTAGCACAGCCACTGTCACATATTAAGTATGTAGTCAGTGGAGTTCTAAAAACCATCAAGCAGTCTAAGTAATCACTTAATTTTGGTTTACATTGGCAGAACCACAGAGGAGGCTCCGAACAACGATTCTCCCCACCATGTCCATTTATCTCCCAACATTATTTATCACACATGATTACACAAAAAGTGTGCAGTACCATACCATACCTCATCTCCAATTCCAAATTCAGCCATGTAGGTAGGTTTCTTGTACGTGATTTGTTTCTTACTTGTCTGAAAGAAGTACATACAATAATGCTGGATTCAGCATTATTTAATCCTCACATATTGTGTGGCCATTGTTGCAATATCACTTGAGCCATAATTATGTGTCATGGTAAAATTAAGAGCAGTTGAAGCTTGCACGGCTTGATCTCCATCAGAATTGGAATAACTTGTTGAAATAGGATGATTGTAGACATCAAGAGAACGTAGGTAAGACGACATTTCTGTGGTAAAGATGATTATTATAATAACATGGTGAAATTCAAAAAAACCTTCAATCCACTGTAGCTGTACTGTAGTATTATATCCATCACAGATGTCCACCTGCATTGTTAGGTTAGAGTGAGAGGAATATGCATCAGAGGTAACCTATCCTATCTATAGCCTCGATTCCAGGCCTTCTCCTTCAAATATATACGTGTCACCTTTGAACCATGCGCAAAGTTAGGGAGGGAGAAGGCCCGGAAGACGTGATACGCGACACAAACGTCACAATGCGTCATATGTACATATAAATTGTGTGTATAGCTTATGAGCGTGACATATTTCGTGCCACATATCACATGTTCCAGGCCTTCTCCTCCTTAACTTGTGCATGGTTCCAAGGTCACGCGTGTATTATATCTGCAAGGAGGGAGAAGGCCTGGGATCGAGGCTACCCCATCTACTCCTTTTGACACTCCCAAAACCCATTTTCCGAACAGAGCCCCTTATTAGCAGATACACTGCGTTTTGACAACCTCTATAAACTTGCCGATGGACGACTCGGCCTTTGTATAGCTAAAAAGGTTGAATACCACAAAAAATTCATGCAGGGTAGTAGATACCTCATTGAAAAATTCCCATGCGAACACAGATGTGGAATAACCATATCGAGCAACGATGTAACGCAGCCTGTTCTTGTAGTCAGCCTTGGCCCTCTCATCAACAAAGAATTCTTAAAATAAACAAAAATAAACACTTCAGTGACTGATACATGTACTATAATCTCACCTGATGGCTTGGTAAGAAACCCACCATTAGCAACATTGTAGTACGACAGATCCCAAGTACAAATCACTGCAAGATTGGATAAACAAACATATCCACCAAAAATATGGATGCGCACCATCAGACACAGTACAAAAGTTGTTGTAGCTCTCTGTGCACATCAGGAGGTGAATGTCGAGCTTCTCAGCCAGTTGCACTACATAGTCCAACCTCCTGTGATGCAGAGGATATAAAAGCACTGAAGTGCAAACCCTCGGCGCACTAATTGATGGGCTGGGCTATGAGTATATATAATATGCATTTACTCATGGTCTCCACGCCAGAGAGTCTGCTACAGTAGTAGATAGCATGTGGGAGTCGATACATGCCATTCGTTATTTCTTATGCCTCTAAGGTACACAGAGCAAGTGGATCAGGTCAAGGTACGCCAGCGCTATTGTGCATATTGGTTTTTTCGCTTGTTTTCACACCATGTTTCCCAAACGCAGTTGCTTCAGGAAAACACCATTTATATTTTCAGGCTCTCGTTGTTTTGAAGCCGTTGGTATCGCTCATAGGCCGCCTTGTAGCCTGTAGTGCCAGAATAGCTGGTGACAAACGGACAGACAGACACACACACACAAACCAAGTAATGTAACCCTCGCTGTGCATACGCGCCGAGGGTTAATAAAATACCGCAATAATAACATTGCTTTACCAAGTGGTTTACCAAGTGTCGTCAAGACTCATGTTTCCAAGTTTTACTTCAACAGTCAGGTCATCCCAGGCCCTATCAGTCAGCCACAGTCGAGCATAATTACCTCCATTAGCAGCCAGCTTCCCAAAGTAGTCATCATATCCATATGTTCCTTTTTATATAAAACAAGTAGCCAAAAATTAATTTACCTATTCGCACAAAATCCTACACTCTGTTATTTGGCAGAGAATATAAATTTTACCACATGTGCAACATCTACACATAGTCTGAGCCTAGTCTGAGGTCCTCAGACCTATCTACGCCCTCCGGTAACACAAGTTGGGTTCCCACTCATTCACGCATCACAGAAAGCGGTCTATAGCCTTTGTGTGTGATGGCCACCTCCTGCTGTGTACTGGGCCTCTGTCATTTTAGTTACTCTCTTTTGAGCTACTGGATGTACTATATCTCCACTGCAAAGGCATGCCAAGTGAAAACGATGGTGCTGGTAAAGTATACCTTGGCCCTCTCCAACCCAACAGACATTCTCTCCAACTGGATAATAAGTGCTGCATGTAGGGAAAATGAAGATCTCCGCAATGAACTCACAGATGGAAATACCTTTTGTTTGCATATTGAAAGTGAACCTGATTGCTTCCAAGTTTAATGAATCCGGCTAATTTGTCCTGAAATAGGTTAGTTATGTATTGGCTATACCACATAAGACTGATTTACATCCGAAGCTTCAAATGAGTCGGTTTTTAGAGTGAATGTTCCACTGGAGTTGGTGATGATGAAGGTCATGTCAAAGGAACCAGGACTGCTAGGTGAGTAGCGGACACACCACTGAGGTGAACCATCAGGAGTCAATTTTTCAGATCCTCCGACATTTGACCGCTCATATGCTTGATAGTAGAACCTAATGTGAGATATCAGAGTACTAATGTTGATCAACTCCATGATTTATACCCATCCACTGTGGTGTTTCCATCTGGACCAGAAAACAATCCTTGAGTAACAACCTGCGATCATGGACAATAATAATTATGTCAGCTGAGGCTGTCATACAGCACCTCAGTGTAATTGAAAGGATTTTGGTTTCCAGACAACTGTGACACCACACAAGTCTCGTAAAGTCCGTAGACTGGCGTCTCTGCAGCTACCAGCAATAGGAGCAGGGGGGAGAGAAAGACCACCGCTAAAGCAGTGTCCATGTTTACACATGCGCGTTTTTGTGCGTCACGGTCGTATTCCCTTCACGCATCCGCAAACGCAGCACTTGCACGGAGGGGGCGTGGCTCGCACATTTTCATATCATGGCGACGAGTCAGGTGCGCGCAGTGCTCTTTCGAATTCTTTTCCTCGTGGTGGCGGTTTCAGAGACGCAGTCTGTGCCAGTTTACGGACGTTACGAGACTTGTGTTGCGTCGCAGCCTTCGGACTACCAAAATCCCTTCAATTACACCGAGGTTGTTTGTGTAGCTACTGCTAGCATTGGCCAAATTAGCCTGATTAAAAACGCTGTTGTGATCTGCCACAGGTTACTACGCAGGGAGTCTTTTCTGGTCCAGATGGACACACCACAGTGGATGGGTATAAATCATGGAGTTGATCAACATTAGTACTTTGATATCTGTCATTAGGTTCTACTATCAAGCATATGAACGGTCAAATGTCGGAGGATCTGAAAAATTGATTCCAGATGGTTCACCTCAGTGGTGTGTCCGCTACTCACCTCGCAGTCCTGGCTCCTTTGACGTGACCTTCATCATCACCAACTCCAGTGGAACATTCACTATGAAGACCGACTCGTTTGAAGCTTCAGATGTAAATAAGTTTGTATTATGGTGAAAGTAACTTCAGACTAAATATTGTATTTCAGGAGAAATTAGCTGGGTTCATAAAGCTTGGTAGCAATCAGGTTCACTTTCAATTCACAAACAAAAGGTTATAAATCAATCTGATAAAATTATTACGGGCTTTGTAAATCTACACTGATTTGTAGCACATATTATCCAGTTGGAGAGAATGTCTGTTGGGTTGGAGAGAACCAAGGTATTTTCCAACAGATAGACATGTGTACAAATAACATAATTATTGTGGAATGAAGGAACGTATGGATACGATGACTACTTTGGGAAGCTTGCTGCTAATGGTGGGAACTATGCCAGGCTGTGGCTAACTGACAGTGCCTGGGATGATCTGGCTGTTGAAGTGAAAGTTGGAAACATGAGTCTTGCCAATACATGGTAACCTAATACAGTATGATAACATGACGTTAATGACCTTTCATTGTCTGTAACAGGAGGTTAGATTATGTTGTAAAACTGGCTGAGAAACTCAACATCCATCTCCTGATGTGCACAGAGAGCTTCAATTACTTTTGTACTAGCTCCTCAGGTTCAAAAGTTGTCACTTGTCCCTCTCTAATTATAATTATTATTCTGATATTCGTCTTTAAAGCTCCGTGTTACTGGGACCAGTCATACTATAATGTTGCTAATGGTGGATTTCTTACAAAGCCTTCAAGTAAGGTGTAGCTACGTATAGCTGCGAGAGGCCATATTGTTTTCGTTTTCTGTTTTCAGATTTCTTTACTGATGGGAGGGCAAAGGCTGACTACAAAAACAGGCTACGTTACTTAGTTGCTCGATATGGTTATTCTACTTCTGTTTTTGCATGGGAATTTTTCAACGAGGTATGTAAAGCCATTATGCAACCCTGCAAAATCAAGTAATCCCAGAAAATTACTCAACTGCACCTCTACAACTATAATGTTTGTCTTTGTTGCCTTGAATGGCCACAAAACTCAACAGCACTCTGACCTAACAAAAAACAAGCCACAATTTTAGTTTTCCTTTCAGTATCCACTGTTATGTACCCTACACACAAAGTGAAGCATCATAATTATGCCAACATCAAAAGGTCTACGACATTATTCGCGACTGGCTTGATACTGACTCATAAGGTTCCATCAGGGTGAAAGCCTCAGACTATTATGTTGTTGCAGGTGGACATATGTGATGATTATAACACCGCAGTTCAGGTTGAATGGAATGAAGGTTAGGCAGTGTACTGAATGCTCTCCTGCATGAAACAATGTAACATCTCTCTCCAAATAACAGAAATGTCATCTTACCTACGTTCTCTTGATGTCTGCAATCATCTTATTTCAACAAGCTTTTCAAATTCAAATGGAGATCAAACTGTGCAAGGTTTAGCTGCACTGAACTTTACTATGACACACAATTATGGGTCCAGTGACATCGCTGCAGCGACTGCACAATACGTAAGATCGATTTAGCCATGTAATCAATATTTTAAACTGTATTCTTATCAGGCGAGCAAGAAACAAATGATGTACAAGAAACCTTCCTATGTTGCTGAATTTGGAATTGGAGATGAGGTGTGGTTACTGTCTTCTACTTCATTACTAAGTTGTTGTGCACGTTATAGCAGATTACGTATGTTGAATAATTATAATTATATAGCTCTTACTTGGACCCACCGTTATAGCATAGAGGAGTTGGTCTGGGGGAAACACGCTGCGTTGTGAATGCAAGAGTAGAGGGTTCAAAAGTAGCTATAAGTTATTATAGCCAAATTGTGACATTAATATTGTGCATCAATATTACAGGGCAAACACGCAGGTACAGTTCAATTCAGTTTTGGTGTTTGTTTCAAGTACACAAACCTATTTTGATGCTACAGGACAATGACAAGGCTGGGGTGTCACTGCACAATGGACTGTGGGCTCCACTCTTTGCTCTGGGAGCTGGCACTTCCATGTAGGTGAATTGAAAAATTGTATGACCTGATTCCTGTTGTGGTTAACTCAGGAGCTGGTGGTGGGACAGCTGGGTGGATCCTAATAATCTCTACCCAATCTTCAAGCCATTTTCAGTGTTTGTGTCTCGTCTCCCACTCGCTGACTACACCTGGAATGTGAGTGATCCAACAGTCAGCCCTGCTCCACCATACAACATTCGAGCCTGGGGCATGGCAGGAGTGGGGCAGGGAGGACAGCAGCTGATAGTGACCTGGGTACAAGATGACTGTTTCACCTGGGCTAACCAACACTCTGGAGTGAAATGTACAAGTCACTCCCGGCTGACATTGACAACAAGCTGCAGTGGAACTTCATCAGGTAGCTAAATAATACGGAGCTAAGAAATCATTTTGTGAGCAAAGATGCAAGAAGTAAGTACATTGGCCAGCTGTGTTTATTGATGACGGATACTTCCCTAAACCACCCAAATTAAACTTAAAGCTGCCACAAACATTATATACAAAGCTATGTATATATGTTCATTATTTGGGAGCTACTGTACGGGACTTTTGCATGCATATTGCACGTGCTATGCTGTTTTTGTGCAAAGAATTTTCATTACGATATTAGTAACGTTAGTTGCAAGGAAATTGATATTGATATACATACACTTTAATATAATATAGTCATTTTACCTATTCTCTGTATGTTGATTATGTCGTCTATGTTGCTGTCACATAAGATATTGGGAATGTGTGAATGATTAAAGTATATGGGGTTGTTCTCACTTATTAATTGTTGTTGTTGCCTAGCAAATAGGGCACTGATAGACACATTGTGGAGGGATTGAATCCAATCTTATGAGTCCAGATTTTGCAATAAGTGGCCACCCTGCATTACACCATTATAGAGCCGTCAATGTATGAGGGCCAGGGAAGTGTCTGAAAGTCGTCTAAAGGTCTATACAACGAGAGAATTAGAGACTAGCTAACCTGAAGAGTAAAATGTCACAAGGAGTTTAGTTAGCTAGAGTTAATTTCAGAAGGTTTGGCTTTCAGTTGTCATCTGTTGTGGCTGTGACTGCAGGTAACTACACTGGCCACTGGTTCAACACCCACACTGGAGAGGACATTGGAAATACATCAGTAATGTGTACAGGCCATCTGCAAGACCAGATACCTACCTTCTCTCAAGACATTGCTGTCTACTACACCTCCTAATGGGCTATGACTCCAATAATAATATACAAATTATAGATACAGCTACAAAAAGATACATTCTTATTTTCCAACATTGTCTTTGAAGAGGAGACAGATTTGCAATGCCAGCAAAACCAGCACTTATGCCCTAGGTCTAACATGAAATCTAAGTAACAGTGTCTCAAGTAAAGTTCCGTTTCCGATTTTCAGATTTTGTTAATGAAATACTAAGCACTTCCATGTCATTTTCCATTTGATTTAGAGAAAAAATTAACATCACTTACTCAAAATGTTTGAGCTGCTGGTGATGACAAGTTTATGGCATTTTGAATGGCATTTTTAACTACAATACTGACATTAGCGTTCACCATTTTGTCACCATGATTTTTCAGGGTTCACAAATTTGTCAACCCTGTAGCTAGTGGTTAATAGTCACAAATTGTGAACCCCGACTTCCAAAGTTGACTACTATATAAATTCTGCATTTGCTGAAATGTTATTTCTCAGATTCTTTTATAGAGCTGATTTTTTTGCGGGAAAATAAGAGACAAATTTTTCTTCAAACACTGCTTCTTTTTATGTAAATTTCTATATATTTATAGAAGTCTCAAAATTGCTGGACATTACTATTATAATAGCTCATCAGCTACATAACATCTTTCTTGGCAATGATGGTGATGCTTAGTCAGCAAAGTAGAGTATCCTTTTACTCTTTATTTCTTGCCTGCATACTTGTGACTACCACATCTGTCATTTTTCATAAAATAAAACGCAGATTTGTTACATGTTATAATGTCCTGCCGAACTCTGGTACTATTTCAAGTCACCATGGCATGAAAGCTTGCCTGCCGAGCGCGAAGTTACACAGCGCATGCGTGTGAACAGCGTGGCGGCGTGAGAGAGAGGGCGGAGACTCTTGGTTTGCCCTGCTCGCGCGACCATAGGACTATGCCCAATAGAAGACTTGCAGAAGATTTACTGCGTGATGCAGAATGCAGCAAAGTAGTTGCCGGAGCCGAGTCACAACTTCGAGATGATAGAGAAATCTGGATCATTCGTGTACCACGCGATGTGAGTTTTCATTTCCTGCTCAATGCCACTAGCCAAAAGTAGGTAGATCGGAACAGCATGTGAGCGCTGGCAGAAGAGAAACGCTAGTATAATGCGAGTTATTTCCATGTATTACCCAGTGTCCAAAGTTATCCCCATTACCTTGCTATGCATGATATGATTGTCCTATGTGCATACATACTGGTCAGGCAGAAGCCATGGTTCCTTGCTGGGTATGTATAAAATAGTTCGACTTGCCAGAAATTTATTGTGAAACAGAGAAGTCCGAGCAAATATCCATTTTAGTATAGCCCCTCATAGGGTAGCTGGTGCTAATAATTTGACCTCAGATTGATGTTGCATCACTACATGGAGCTACAGTTGCTATGGACAGAATTGAGCAGACCTTGCCAGGTGACAAAAGGTGAACAAAACCTGGTTTTCTTTGCAAACTTTTCTTTACCATTAACCATGGGTCTGAGTGGATAAGCCCTCTTATGGCCAATCCAGAGATTAACCCTCGGGTGTGCATATAAAAGGAGGTAACAAGGCAAAGACATAGCAAACAAATCGACAACACCCAGGACAGCTCTTAAAAATAAGAGCTGCCCTAGGTGGGATTCGAACCCACGATACTAGGCAAGTGCTCTACCAACTGAGCTACAAGGGAAACTCAGATGGTAGGGGTTCGAATCTTCAGCGAGAATCGATCTATTTTCAAGTGGCAACATAGTAATGCTACATAGAAATTTGAATGTGTGAAAAATTTCACCACAGACTGTAAATGCCTTTTTTTCTGTTCTGCTTTGTCACTGTTTCATTCATTGATTAGTTACAGGCTTAAACTGCTTGCATGTGTTACTTTCATTGCAGTACCAACTAGCCATCTCTCAAGCACCCATATTGTCATCAGTAAGTATAGTATGATAAGTAGGATAGTGTGTCTGTATGGGTAATTAACCCTTGGCGCACATGCGCAGCGAGGGTTACGGTAGTTGGGTCTGTCTGTCTGTCTGTGTGTCTGTTACTCAACATCTCACTTCTCCAATGACGATACTACCTACTTAACTGGCAATGAAGGTCAGAAATTTTGTGTGGTTTTCTCTGAAAATGCTCCGTTCTAAAGCTAGAGTGCTTCCAGCATTGTACGGCTAATTCCGGTAGTCGCCATTTTATTGCTGCGGAAAATGCGCATTTAGCACAGGTTTACCTCAACCAGGTCCGCTTGCTCTGTGTATCTTGAAGGCACAAAAAGTCACAACGGCATGTATCGACTCTCGCATGCTATCTACTGTAGCTAGCCCGTATCAGACTCTCTGCGAGCTATATACTAGCGGGAGACCACGAGTAAACGCTTACTAAAAGCCCAGCCCATCAATTAGCGGTACCGCACATGCGCAGTTCGCCGAGGGTTTGCACTTTTAGTGCTTTTCATTTTCATACAGTAACTATAAGCACACACTCTTGCTGTTTTAGATATAATACTGTTTGTTTTTGTGATGCAGCACGCATGTGCAGCGAGGGTTACAGCACTTGGTGTGTGTCTGCTACGAGACAGCCACAAAGCTATGCCAACATGTTCGGAGCTACACTGGCTTGATTTTAAAACTAGCAATTTTCATATGGCATGAAAACCAAGTGAATGAAAAGCACTAAAGTACAAACCATCGGTGAACTGCGCATGTGTGGTACTGCTAATTGATGGGTTGGGTTGGGTTATTATAGTATGCGTTTACTTGCGGTCTCCCGCTAGTAGCTCACGGAGAGTCTGACACGGGCTAGCTACAGCAGTAGATAGCACGCGGGAGTCGATACATGTTGTTTATAGCGACTTCTTGTGCCTTCAACATCCACAGAACAAGCGGACTTGGCCGAGGTAAGCCTCTGCTAATTGGTTTTCACGCCATAACCTTCTGAACGCAGCACTTTTACGAAAATCACCACTTTATTATGAATGAAACCAGTGTAGCGCTTCTCCAACAACAGGCTACGAGGCATCGTGAAAACTGCGATTATCCTGAAACGACTGCGTTCGTGAGTTATGCCATCAAAACCTAAAAAGGCCATATCCCAAATCGCAATGGGCTTACCTCAACCTGATCCGCTTGCTCTGTGTACCTGGGAGGCACAAGAAGTCACAATGGAGGGTGTGTATCGACTCCCGACATGCTACGTGTCTACTAGTGTAGCTAGACTCTCCGCGAGGTACTAATGTGGTGACCGCAAGTAAAATGCATACTGATAGCCCTTAGCGATACCTGCATGCATAGTGCGATGAGGGTTTGCACTTTAGTGCTAATTCAGTCTTTATAATTATTTTTTCCAGAGTGTCGTGATCCCGACATCAAATGCAGGAGAATTAGAGTATGGTAAATAGGGTTGAATTATAATCTGTGGGTTGAGTAGAAAGAATATTTGCAGGCCCTAGTATATGTGGAGAACTGCAATTAAAGCAAGGGGTGGAGATTGGAAAAGTGGAGGTCCCCCAGGCAGTGGCTGGCTCTGAGAAAGGTCCCATTCCCAGCTGGTCTGAAACAGAGATGGAAACCTTTTGGATGGAGTGAGGGTTTAGATAAGTGTTTTCTCGTCCTATGTATTTTAACCTCGTATGCTTTTTTGTGGGAAGGAATAAACAGCTATGTGTGTGCATCTAATCACCCTCTTGAAATATTTCGCAGCATGCACGTGTCCGGATGACACTTACGTGGGTGTCACTCTCTTCAGCCACCTATTAACGTAGCTCACTCAGACTTCCATGCTGATTGCCTATAGTCCTATCACCCTCCTGTTCATCATGATAGCTCTTCTACCTATAGTACCCAAGTTAAAGGAATTTTTCCGTTACGCTTTGTTCACAATTCATAAACTGGAGCTCACATGGTGATGTGATATCACATTGCTTGGTCCACAGATGTATTGCTTCTCTGGAGAAGTAACCCTTGTTAACCCTCGGCGCGCATGCGCAGCGAGGGTTACAGTACTTGGTTCACATGCAACAAGAAAACAAAGTAGCGATACCAAAAAGGTTCAGCACTATACACTACCTTGATTTTGAATTTGGCGAATTACGTAAAAGTAGCTACTGAGTTCGAGAGATATAGCGTGAAAACATTGTGATAAAGCCAATTGCAAATTAGCACAGGCTTACCTCGACCAGATCTGGCCTGATGGACAAGGAGGGGTGTGGGTCATTTTTTGTAATGATGTAATGTTATGGGTGATGATATAAGAGGAACGTTTTTTCATCAGCTCTCGTGGCCAGCCCAAGTGATTAAGTGGTTAGAGACGTGGGGACTGTCACATAAGGTGCCCGGTTTGAATCTCGGACTGGCACTGAAACTGACAGGTGGTCCAGAGCAATGGCTGGGAACAGCTCTGGTTCCTCCCCTTACCCATGAATCTACCATTGACCCACGATTCTCAAAAGGACAGCGTATAGTTCGGCATAGCAACATGACTCTTTTAGATTGCCCATTACTATTTTTTCAACCTTAAATGTTCGATTTTTGTCTAAAACAACCCATGGATAAGAGTGGTGGAAAATCAACTCCGATGGCCTTCCAAAGTGGTCGACTGCAGCTAAACAAGTGTTGCTTCTTCAACCATCGTCTGCCGCTTCTTTTGAAGGGAAATAATACCATCAAAAGCAGCGGCAGACGATGGTTAAAGAAGCAACACTTGTTTAGCTGCAGTCGACCACTTTGGAAGGCCATCGGAGTTGATGATGAAACAGTGCAAAACATATAGTTTTCTCTTTTTAATGTGTGGCCAGTTATTGTAAGAAGCCTCTCTACAACTTTTTTGGATTGCCATTACCATTAATTGGTACGCATTGCCCTCGCAAAAACTAGCGCCACAAAACTACCACTCTTCATGTTGTGTTCGTGCGTAATGTTGACTATAGAATGAAGATTATCCACTTTCAAGTGGTTTCATTAAATCCTCGGGGCACATACGCAGCTAATGTTAATGTACTAGACTAGCAAGAGAGTTAATTTGCATAGCCAAGCCTATAATTTAGTGGTACCACGCATGTGTATAGGTTAGACATTTATAGTGCGCCGAGGGTTTGCACTTTAGTGCTTTTCATATTAGCTTAGCTATCAGTATAGTGTTGTGTTGCCGTTCAGCATCATGTAACATCCCAAGCTTTTGTGTTTTAACATAAACTGCACACACCCACGCATGCATAGTGCATATACCAGTCCCTCCCCAAAGAGGTTGGAAACAAGGCTTTAGGCCTGTTTCTGATTCAACACACCACAGCTTTATTGAAAGTTCAGGTGTGCCTAAGAATGTGTTAGCAAAACAATTATGTATTAGTTGTGATTGTGGTTACATGGAGGTCCTTTCTATAGAAACTCCTTATCTCCGACCAAAAGGGAATAGGAAGAGAACCAAACTCAAGGTAAGCATGTAGTCATCAACCAACAGTGTGTGATTATCTACTATTGCAGAAGACAAAGATGAAGGATGGTAGTAACTGACACTCTCAATGTCTTCCAAAGTATTCTGTCATAAATATTATTCATTCGACATCTAATTTGGAATGCCCATTATTTTACGAGTAGCTACCTTCACTGGATGTGATGGCCCTTAATGTTTTGGTTTGGAAGAGTGTTCTAGCAAACAGGCCAACAGTCCAGTCAGAGAGTGAGTCCAAGTCCAAGGCAGAGAGTGGGGGTTACAGTAGTTACTGGATACAGTTACGTTTGACTGCCCCTCACTGCCATTATTCCAAGCATACACTGTCACTAAAGCCAATGTGGAGGATGTGCAACCATGCAGACAGGACTTTCCCGACATCTCACTTCACGAACCTTGAACTGGGCGGTTGTGTGTCTGTAGTCAGTCAGTCCGTTTTTCGACATCTCACTTCACGAACCTTGAACCGCTCCACAAACACCACGTATTCAGCGTTGGGTATATATATAGGTCGCAAAATATGTAGGGTTTTCTCAGAAACTGCTGCGTTCGGGAGGTTTACAGCGTGAAACCGGAGTGATGCAAACTCACTTGCTTACCTTCTGCCTGTTCACCGTGGAGGCATCGGAAGTTATTGTGCGGCTATAGTGATAGTGACACAGTTCCTGCCGACAACAGCAGTTAGTGATAGTGACACAACTAGACGGTTATGGTGATAGTGACACAACTAGGCGGTTATGGTGATAGTGACACAGCTCCTGCTGACAACAGCAGTTAGTGATAGTGACACAACTAGATGGTTATGGAGATAGTGACACAACTAGGCGGTTATGGTGATAGTGACACAGCTCCTGCCAACAACAGCAGTTAGTGGTAGTGACACAACTGGGCGGTTATGGTGATAGTGACACAGCTTCTGCTGACAACAGCAGTTAGTGATAGTGACACAACTGGGCGGTTATGGTGATAGTGACACAGCTTCTGCTGACAACAGCAGTTAGTGATAGTGACACAACTGGGCGGTTATGGTGATAGCTGCTGCCGACAACAGCAGTTAGTAATAGTGACACAACTGGGCGGTTATGGTGATGGTGACACAGCTCCTGCCGAAACCATCTCCATCATATTATATAGCATCTTCTGGGCCAGCGTGGGGATTTTCCATCTAAGTTCAAAAGCTCTCTCTGGGAGGTAAAGTGTGTCCGCTTAGCAGTGCACACTCGCACCTTCTTTAGTTTCTTTGTGTATAATTATTTGTGCCCCTCTTGCCGAGACTAGATGATGACAACATACAGAGTGTATATATGGTAGGTTGAACACGTCACTCACTGCTGAATTGAAAAGAGACCAGTTACATTTTCCAAGCCAATTCATAATCAACATTCTGTGGGTTGCAGCTATGGATTTCATGAGTATTATATCCAAACACTCTGTGCTAAATCTGTCACTTGAATGCATACCTACAAGCCTTCATACATGCATTAATCATTACCGGGATCTTTTATCACCCTCGTGGTATGTTGTTCGTAGCTTAGCTCAAGATGCGTGCACATTTGCAGTACTAAAACAAGCTTCATTGTATATATGGCAAGATGATTTTACAATTACAATCACCATCATGGCAGAGTAAAGAGTAACCAGTATCATCTTGTGGACCAATGGGTGGTAGCTAGCAGTGCATGTCAAGCATACATGTGTAAACACTCGCACTGCAGCACCATGCTAAAAACAACTGTGACATGTGGCAGGAACTGATTGAGTAATGTCAGTGCATAAGAATTCTTGCTCCTCATCTCGCGCCTCGTAGACTGAAGGGATGGTGTAGTCAGAAAGAGGGGAAGAAAGGTAGAATGAAAAAATTTATCAGCTCTACAAGTGGGATTCGAATCCATAACCTCTTGCTTCCCGGGATAATGCACGAACCCTCATGACCTCTTGCTTCCCGGGCAAGTGCACTTCAACTGTGCTATAGAAGAGCTGCAGATGGTATATAGACAGCAGAAATGAGTTCTTGTCCAACGTGCTACTCTGACTCCTAAACGGGTGAGATCATAAGTACATGAGTTATGTAAGCACGTAAGTGCTGACATGGCATGCTAAACAACTGTGACATGTGACAGGAAGTGATTGAGTTATGTACGTAAAAGCCCTATGACACACATCACATTCTTACCCACAATTCAAGAGAATTGTGGTGCAAGAGCATGATGCTGTTTCCTGTCACGCTGCACATAACCCGTTGTCATAGTCGCTAACAGGTGACGTCAAATGCAGTGTTCAGCATTCATCAGCATCGCGTTCAGTCCTACACAGCCTTTGTACAATTCCAGTAACAAAGTTTAGGGATGCATTGAAGTTTGGATCAGTTTAATTTCATTCTGTTTGGTTTAGTTAGTTATGCTTCTTTGACATTCGTTTCTAGATAATCTGCAAGCTACACTGGGTGCAAAGTTTAGTCTCTGTGCCTTCAGAAACAATATTAATCATGTGTTTATAATGTGCACATTTGAAATAAAAATGTTATTTTCTCTACCAAACTCTCTTGGTAATAACTCCTAGAGTATAGGGTGTGCATAATTATCACCCTGTAGCGGAGGTTCTGCCCTAGACAGTGCCTCTAGTAAAAGTTCCTTTTCTTATTTTAAGATTTTCCCCAAAATCATCTAAAAATCAGCACTCTTGCTCTATATATTCTAAGACGACAAGGTATATATATTATTTCAGCAAATGCAGGATTTAACAAGCTTGATTGTCAACTTCGGAATGGTCAGAGGCATTTGAGGGGGTAGTTCGGGT